GGTAGGATCCTGATCCCAGTTTAAGCCCGTTACCCGATGGGATCTCGATGTATCCTGTTCCCCGATGGAAGCGCGTAACCGATGTGTCCCATTAGGATCCTGTTCCTCTATGGGATCATGCTCAGTGCGATTTTGTTTAAATAAGCTTTTAGATCTAATTATATATCCAAGTAGAAAAGTATAGAACATTCTAGATTAAATTTAATATCCTCCATGAAAATTAAATTTCTACGTAATTATTTCTCGAATGCGAAATATTTATACAACTAAATTGTGCTACTAACTATAATACATTTAAATTGATAGAGGGGCCCCGTTGGGGGCCTATTTGATAAAGTACCGTTTTATTTATGTCTGAGATAGAAAAGGGGGGGGGGTGGTGGGGGGGCTATAAAAATCATTGAGATAAATTACATAATTAAAACTTGTCCTATTAAAAGTGGTTTACAATTGCCATAGACATAGCTTTTTTAAACTATCGAAGTTTCTAGAAAATTCTAGATCGGCCTTGAATGGATTGGATATTAAATCAAACGATATTTTAAAACGGACTAAGAAGGGTATTGCTACAAAGCTAGGCCTAGATTCACCTAAGCACATATAACCTATGGTGTTGTCTAACCCTATTGATATTTATATAGCTTATATTAGAAAAAATGAAATGGGGCCCGCGGCCCCAAATGTATGGAGATTATGTGTTCAGTACCCTTCGTTATTTGAGTATGGATGATCAAGATTATGTGTATTCAGTTTGGTCAAGATCCATCTCTTCATGTAGGAGTACTGAGCCTATTGCTATTTATGTAGCTTATATAAGGAAAAAATGAAATGGGGCCTCCGGCCACAGAAGATGGATATTATGTGTTATGTATTTGAATATGGATAATCAAATGTATGTATATTAAGTTTGGTCAAGATACATCTATTCATGAAGTAGTATTTGTTGTTAAGTTTATTTATATAGCTCAAATAAGAAAAAAACGAAATCGGGGCCCCAAGTTGAGACCGTTCAAAGAAGAGTTTCAAAATTAAACCTGGTTAACTTTTGTAAGTAAGCCGTAAGGAATATGTCTGCCCTATTTCAGGCTTCTATCTACAGGGGAAGTTGGAGAATAATGGTCATAAAATAAAAAAATAAAATTGGTCCCTAGCCCCAGAGGTAGGAATATTATGAGTTATGTACCCTTCTGTATTTGAATATAGATAATCAAGAGTATGTGTACTAAGCTTGGTCAAGATCCATCTATTCATGTAGGAGTACTAAGCCTATTGCTTTTTATTTGGCTTATATAAGGAAACATGAAAAGGGACCGGCCCCAGAGGGATGGATATTATGTGTTAAGAACCCTTCGGTATTTGAATGTAGATAATCAAATGTATGTAAATTAAGTTTGTTCAAGATCCAGATATTCATGTAGCAGTATTTGTTGTTAATTTTATTTATATTGCTCATATAAGAAAAAAAAATCAAAATTTGGGGCCCCCGGTTGTGACCGTTCTGGGTAGAGTTTCGAATTGAAACCTGTTTAACTTTTGTTAGAAAGTTGTAAGGAATAAGCCAGCTAAATTTCAGTCTTATATTTACAGCGAAAATTGGAGAATACAGCTCATATAAGAAAAAATGAAATGGGGGCACCCAGCCCTAGAGGTATGGATATTATGAGTCCATTACCATTCGGTATTTGAATATGGATAATCAAGAGTATGTATACTAAGTTTGGTCAAGATCCATCTATTCATTTAGGAGTACTAAGCCTATTGATAGATATTTATACGCTTATATTAGAAAAAAATGAAATTGCCCCCCCCCCCTTTTGCCCAAGAGAGATGGATATAATGTGTTAAACACCCTTCAGTATATGAGTATGGAGAATCAAATGTATGTATATTAAGTTTGGTCAAGATCCAGCTATTCATGTAGCAGTATTTGTTGATCATTTTATTTATAAACCTCATATAGGAAAAAATTGACATTTTGGGCCCCTGGCTCCAAACTGTATAGAGTTTCAAAATGACACGTGCTTAACTTTTGTAAGTAAGCCGTAAGGAATAAGCCTGCCAAATTTCAGGCTTCCATCTACAGGGGAAGTTGGAGAATTAGTGATGAGTGAGTGAGGCCTCTCTATTAATACAGATCCAGTACCTGAACGTAATATGGTCTACGCCACTTTCTTTATTGTGTTATCACTTTCCTTAAATTAATATGTTCTATGTCCCTTTCTTCTGCTCTGTTACTTCTTTCCTGAATGGACTACGTCACTTTCTTTATTATGTCATCTCTTTTCTGAATGTAATTTGATCCACGTCACTTTCTTTTGTTCTGTTATTTCGTACCTGAGTGTAATATGGTCTTCGTCACTTTCTATTGTTCTGTTATCTCTGTCCTGAATGTATTATAGATTACGTCATCTTCGTTTGTTCTGCTATGTCTTTCCTGAGTGTAATTTGCTCTATTTCCCCTTCTTTTTTTGTGTATTCTGTTTCCTAAATATTATCTAATCTATGTCACTTTCTTCTGGATGAAATATAATCTAATCTATGTCACTTTCTTCTACAATGATATAGACTACATGTTATCTCTTTCCTACAATGATATAGACTACGTGTTATCTCTTTCCTACAATGATATCGACTACGTGTTATCTCTTTCCTACAATGATATAGACTACGTGTTATCTCTTTCCTACAATGATATAGACTACGTGTTATCTCTTTCCTACAATGATATAGACTACGTGTTATCTCTTTCCTACAATGATATAGACTACATGTTATCTCTTTCCTACAATGATGTAGACTACGTGTTATCTTTTTCCTACAATGATATAGACTACATGTTATCTCTTTCCTACAATGATATAGACTACGTGTTATCTCTTTCCTACAATGATATAGACTACGTGTTATCTCTTTCCTACAATGATATAGACTACGTGTTATCTCTTTCCTACAATGATATAGACTACGTGTTATCTCTTTCCTACAATGACATAGACTACATGTTATCTCTTTCCTACAATGATGTAGACTACGTGTTATCTCTTTCCTACAATGATATAGACTACGTGTTATCTCTTTCCTACAATGATATAGACTACGTGTTATCTCTTTCCTACAATGATATAGACTACATGTTATCTCTTTCCTACAATGATATAGACTACGTGTTATCTCTTTCCTACAATGATATTGACTACGTGTTATCTCTTTCCCACAATGATATAGACTACGTGTTATCTCTTTCCTACAATGATATAGACTACATGTTATCTTTCCTACAATGATATAGATTACGTGTTATCTCTTTCATACAATGATATAGACTACGTGTTATCTCTTTCATACAATAATATAGACTTCGTGTTATCTCTTTCATACAATGATATAGACTACGTCACTTTCTTTTGTTTCTTTTATCTATTTCTTGATATAATACTGGCTATTTCAATTTCTTATGCTGTCATCTCTTGCCTGAATGTAATTTTGCCTACGTCAATTTCGTTTGTTCTGTTATCTTTTTCCTGAATGAAATATGATATATGTCACTTTCCTTAATTCTGTCATCTCTTTTTTAAATGTAATATGATTTATGTAAATTTTTTATTTGTTCTGTCATCTCTTTCCTTAATATAGTATGATCTACGTCAGTTTCTTTATTTTTTTTTCGCTTTCCTGAATGCAATATTCCTAAGTCACTTCCGTTTGATCCGTTTTTCTTTCATGAAAGTAATGTGGTCTACTTAACTTTCTTTTTTTCTGTTATCTCTTAAACTTGTGTATGCTCTTGTTCTCTCTCGTCTCGACTATTGCAACTCTCTTCTCTCAGGTTCACCAAAACACTTCATAGAAAAATTAGAAAAGATTCAAAACTCAGCTGCTAGGCTATTTCTAAAGGCAAAAACACGTGATCACGTCACACCACTGCTTGAGAGAGAGTCAGAGAGAGAGATTCAGTTGGAGAGAATGATAGAGTCAGAGAGGGATAGAGAGATAGTCACAGAGAGAGCATGAGAGAGAGTCAGAGAGAAAGAAGAGACGTTATCTATATAGACAGAAATATTAATTGTAAACTTGAAATGGCTCCTGCGTTTAATTTTAAACACATTTCTAGAAAATGTAATTTAAAACAAACGGTTCTCATCTATATTATTCTCAACTCTTTCCCGAACACCCATAGCCAAAGAATCTGAACACGCCTTTTTTCTTTTGTGACAACATAAAAGAAAATAAAAATTTATAACATTTCCTTCATTAGAGCTGCATTTAACAAAAAAAAAAAATTACAGTTAAACGATAAACTTTTGAACTTCGAATTATTTTATATATTTAAAAAAGCAATGGAAAAAAACAATCATATCATCTCCAGAATTCTTTTAATGATAATTTAAATATTCAGCCGTTATCTCTAAAGCAGCTGTTTTTTTCGTTTGTTTTCTTTTGTTTTATTTTTTTCTTCAAATTTTCGTTTTATCAAATCAATCTGCTAAGTAAAATACTTTCAGGGGTAAAAACTTATTAAAAAATTATTGAATTCCTTTTTTGGGCCATATCTGGGTGGTGTCCCTTTTAACATTTTAAAAAAATATATATATATTATTAATGGCATTTAGTTTTTTGGAGTGAAAAAAAAATCAAACAATTTTAAGAGAAATAAAAAATAATCCTTTTAAAGATCGTTTATTTAAAACTAAATCTGCTTTTGTTTGTTATCGATGTTGTTTACAGCTAAAGCAATACAAGAATGAAGTTCTGAACTAATATGATCTAAAAATAGATTCTTCTTTGAAAATGTATCCCATAATCCCCAACATGTAAGTTAAAAATAAAAAGACGCTTAACAAAGGTTTTATCTTTTTAATGTTCACAAGCGCACCTTTCTCAATTTATTTCTAACCTTATGGAGATTAAATGTACATGTATGCGACGGGTATTCTTATTTCAAAATCCTGGCAAGGCCGCTCCATCTTGTTTAGAGACTTCTGCCAAGATGGATGTCAAGGCTTCCAACAACGGCACCCAACAACTAACTGCGTCACGTGGCTACATTATTGGTATATGAAAACTTTAGGCTTATCCTCCAGCACGTTCTGCTTGAGATATTTCTTGAACATTCTTAAAAATGCCGGAAGGATGGACTCGTCACATATGTTGACCAGGTCTGGGAAAGACTTGCGGAACGCCAGCGTCGCCTCCAGCAGATGGTAGTGGGGTATCTTGGGAAACAAGTGGTGAATCTGGTGCGTGTTGACACTGAAAGAAGCAAAAACAAACAAAAAAAGATTGATCGGGCTTGTCATGACAAAAATAAATCCATCCGCTCGAGCAGTGGCGAATGTTTTTCATTGTAGGTGTTCACTCTTAAAAAGGGACTTCTAATAATTTACAGCCTTGTATTGCTGCCTGGACTCTGTCCTACACAGTGGAGTAGGAAAGGGTGCGAGATGCGGAGGGGGTGATCCAGTATTTTCCTGTAGAGCTGTTGTCCTGTATTCCCTGCAGCCCAGCCGCCCAGCCACTCAGCCACCCAGCTGCTCAGCCGCTCAGCCACACGAGAGCAAATTTTCGGGTCGCCGAAAGAAAAAAAAAAAAACGGATACCCCATGTCACGAAAAAAAAATTGCGAACCACCGGTCTACACAATAAGTACACATTATTTAATAGACGCGCCAAGCGTACCTGTGTATAAAGAAATTTGACCATCCGTAGGAGCGGTCGATGGTAGAGAGCTGACCGCGCACAAACTCCCACGTGTCGTTGCTGTACCACGGGATGTTCTCCTCGGTGTGCTGCAAGAACGTGATGACCACCATGTAGCTGGCGAAGATGAACGTCGGGACGCCCCAGTGGTAGATGACGGTGCCGAGGCCGAACGCCTCCTGAAGCCGGGCCAGGCACATCACCCACATGGTCAGGTGCACGAGGGAGACGGTGCAGTTGATCACGTGCTTACGGAACATGGGATGAAGAGGGTTAAAATGTGGGACCTGAAACAAGAGATATGATTAGTCAGCTACTTTATTCTCACTGAAACAGGAGATATGATTGGTCAGCTACTTTATTCTCACTGAAACAAGAGATATGATTGGTCAGCTACTTTATTCTCACTGAAACAAGAGATATGATTGGTCAGCTACTTTATTCTCACTGAAACCAGAGACAGATGATTGGTCAGCTACTTTATTCTCACTGAACCAGAGACAGATGATTAGTCAGCTACTTTATTCTCACTGAAACAAGAGATATGATTGGTCAGCTACTTTATTCTCACTGAAACCAGAGACAGATGATTGGTCAGTTACTTTATTCTCACTGAAACCAGAGACAGATGATTGGTCAGCTACTTTATTCTCACTGAAACCAGAGACAGATGATTGGTCAGCTACTTTATTCTCACTGAAACCAGAGACATATGATTGGTCAGTTACTTTATTCTCACTGAAACAAGAGACAGGTGATTGGTCAGCAACTTTACTCTCACTAAAACAAGAGATATGATTGGTCAGCTACTTTATTCTCACTAAAATAAGAGATATGATTGGTCAGCTACTTTATTCTCACTGAAACCAGAGACAGATGATTGGTCAGTTACTTTATTCTCACTGAAACCAGAGACAGGTGATTGGCCAGAAACTTTACTCTCACTGAAACAAGAGATATGACTAGTCAGCTACTTTATTCTCACTAAAATAAGAGATATGGTTGGTCAGCTATTTTAGTCTCACTGACACCAGAGACAGATGATTGGTCAGTTACTTTATTCTCACTGAACCCAGAGACAGATGATTGGTCAGTTACTTTATTCTCACTTAATCCAGAGACAGATGATTGGTTCAGCTACTTTATTCTCACTGAACACAGAGACAGATGATTGGTTCAGCTACTTTAGTCTCACTGAACCCAGAGACAGATGATTGGTCAGCTACTTTATTCTCACTGAAACAAGAGATATGATTGGTCAGCTACTTCATTCTCACAAAAATAAGAGATATGGCTGGTCAAATATTTAAGTCTCACTGAAACCAGAGACAGATGATTGGTCAGCTACTTTATTCTCACTGAAACCAGAGATATGATTGGTCAGCTACTTTATTCTCACAAAAATAAGAGATATGGCTGGTCAGATATTTTAGTCTCACTGAAACCAGAGACAGATGATTGGTCAGCTACTTTATTCTCACTGAACCCAGAGACAGATGATTGGTCAGTTACTTTATTCTGCCTTAACTAAAATAACGTGCCAAACAATGGCGGTTGCAGTACGCCAACCTGTCATCTCAACCAAAGCTATTTGAGAAAACATACATTCAAGTAATGCAATGTTTTATTATTTGTGATTGGACCATTTTAGCCAACGATGTAATATAGAGTGGAGACAGTGAAGAACGCTAGAGACCGGAAGGTTTGGCAAGAAATTTTAGTGAGGCTAATGCCCCACTGGAGTTGCAAGACTTTGTCTGTGCTCTACTCGGAGTTGAAAATTCATAGAAGAAGAAGATACATCTTTGTATTAAAAGAGTATTATACCGTAGATCAGATGTCAGTAAAATAGTTCCAAAGTGTGATATTTAATTCATTCTGCCTGCCAACAACCTTTAAGTCTATCTGATCTTTACATTTCAGTCATTTATAATTATTTTTGGGGTCCTCCGAGTGCCATTAACAATAATGTCTACCACTCTCAGTAGTAGAGAGATGTTAAGGTTAAGGCTAGTACATACACGACATGACATGTCCTAACACTTACACCACATGACATGTCATTGGCAGGGTCGAAGGCTAGCACATACACGACTGACATGTCCTAGCACTTACACCACATGACATGTCATTGGCAGGGACGAAGGCTAGTACATACACGACATGACATGTTCTAGCACTTACACCACATGACATGTCATTGGCAGGGTCAAAGGCTAGCACATACACGACATGACATGTCCTAGCACTTACAGCACATGACATGTCATTTGGCAGGGTCGAAGGTTAGTACATACACGACATGACATGTCAGTGATGGGGTCGGAGGCTAGCACATACACGAGGCATGACATTTCAGTGATGGGGTCGGAGGCTAGCACATACACGAGACATGACATGTTAGTGATGGGGTCGGAGGCTAGCACTCACACGACATGACATGCCATTGACGTAGTTGGCTACATACGTTTGGAGGGTTTCAGACATTAGGCCCCTATATAAATTTTAAAGGCCTCGGGACCATCCACCAATGACATTAAATCAACATCATCAACATCATCAACATGTTCACTATCAACCAATGAATTTTCCAACTACCTGTCACGTGTCATTGTATAGGCATTACGGTTTAGGCGATCGCTCATTTTATTTTTTAAAAATATTTTGACACACACATACACAGTCGCCACCCCCACCCCCTTTTCTTTACACTATTTTTAATGTATTTATATTAAGTTATAGTTAATATAAATAAATATTTTATAATCTATATTTAATTAATAGCTAAATATATGTATCATTTCCTCACATGCTCCACCTCACACACACATATTAAAAAAAAGCCGACGCCCTTCATAGAGAATCTATGAAGGTTTAAACAGCAGCGCCCCTTTTCAAAGGAGATGATTTGAAATTTGACTTGAAAAGCGTCATGTGTGGGATTGGACTTCGTCGGGAATAACTAAATGGCCTAAGCCCACGGGCTATTAACGATGTTTTTAAAAAAATAAATAAATAAATAAATTACATATCTTCTTTACTGTTCCCCCTTAAACAAACAAATTTTGCTCGTTATAGCAGAGGCGTAGCTAGAGTGTTTGACGCCTGGGGACGAGATTCGTTTTAAAGAGCCTCCCTTTCTTTTTTTTTATCTACTCACGAACCCAATTATTTTCTTCAATGAAATACAATCAAAGCACATTTTGGAGCCCCTAACTGGTCTGGCGCCCAGGGACATCTGCCCCCAACCCCTTGACTACGCCTCTGTGTTATAGATCATGGAATACATTCTAGATTCCTGTCTATGTGGCCGAGGGTGTGAACAGGTCCACAAGAAGGTACAATCTTACTCCTCTGGGATCATATCCCTTGATGAGATAGGCGAACCAGCCGATGCCAAAGCCGAAGCAAGGCACTATGGGTACGCCACCTGGGGTCAGCTCCTTCTTCCAGACGGGATAGAACACCTCGTCTTTGTCCATGTTGCCTGTGTGCTTGTGGTGGTTCCTGTGCGTTATCTGAAATATACAAGTTTATCATTGAAGCACAAGTTAAGCTTATAATGTATGTACAAGTTCAGTTTATCATAAGGGTAAAAGTTAAGCTTATCATTCATGTACAAGTTCAGTTTATCATAAGGGTAAAAGTTAAGCTTATCATTCATGTACAATCATGCGCATTTTATTATTTGTTAAATGGAAAAATTCGTGTCTGGTGAGTATATTATATTAAGGTGAATGCGATGCTTATGAAACTGTGTGTAGCTGTGTGGAAGTTGACGCATTGGTCCCCAAATGGCGGTCCTGTGGACCTTCACCGGTCCCCATAACATAAATATTTATTGTCTAATAGAAATAAAAGTAAAAAATAAATCATGCACCGGTCCCTGGTAAAGTTTCGAAACTTGTTCACCGGTCCGCCAAACTTAAAACTTTGGGAACCACTGGACTAAGGGGAGGAAGACGAAAAATGATTTAGTTGTTTTCGGTGATTTTGTGATAGTTCGGAACGACAACAGCTGTTGTACATGGCAAAAGAGTGGTGTCTTTTTTATTATAAATCTGAAGTAAGGTTACTTTATAACATATATGCAACAGAAATTTATGACTTCTGCTTGACAGTAAGTATTTACGTCCTGTAAAAATGCCTATCATCTTGAGCTACATTGAACTTTGTTGAGATTTTCGAGCTCATAAGTTTTAAAGTTAAATTCAAAGTATCTTCAGTTTCTTGTTTGTGTATTGTCTGCTGAAGTAGGCGTCTAGCCGAAAAGCATGTTTCTTGTTTTTGTATTGTCTGATGAAGAAGGCATCTGGCCGAAGCGTCTGTTTCTTGTTTAAGTATTTCTGCTGAAGAAGGCATCTGGCCGAAACGTCTGTTTCTTGTTTGTGTTTTGTCTGCTGAAGAAGGAATCCTACCGAAATGTATGTTTCTTGTTTGTGTAATCATCTGCTGAAGAAGGCATCTCGCCGAAACGTCTGCTTGCCTGTCCTTTCTTTTATTTCTAAGCCTAGACATATCTCGTTCCACTATTTATTTACCTCACACGGGTTGAGCACGGTCCCTCCCATGTTATCCATTTTATTATATAAAGCTCCATGTGCCTGTTCTGAAACAGTCGCTGCTCTTTTGTAGATACAGGAAGTGAAAGTGCCTGAGATCTTCTCGCTATCACTATATTACACAGCAAGCAACGCGAGTGTCTAGCTGTTTGTGTTCTTCAAAGGAATTAGACACAAAAAATCGTTCCTTGTAATGTTTTCTTGTATTTAGTCAAATTTCAGCTTCTTTCAACCTGTAATCATTAGACCACGTTTGTATTTATAATTGTACCGACGGCTGTACTTCTGGAGAAGTGCTCACCTTCCACTGGTAGTAGGGGCAGATGACAAAGTTGTGGCAAATGTTGCCGAAGATGGTGTTGACAATCTCGTGCTTAGAGAATGACCCGTGGCCAGCGTCATGGCCCAAGAAAAAAATTCCAGTAAACACTGTGCCCTGGACAAGCCAGTACAGAGGGGTGATGACTAGCTGTGGGCAAAACAGAATGGCGTTTACTCGAAACAAAATGTCATTTAATTGACCAAAAAAATTCATTTATTAGACCCCCCCCCCTTTTCCCCCCAATAAAAAATAAATCTTTAAATACAAATGTAAATATTTTATTTGAATGAATTGAGAAACAAAGATGGAAAATGCAGATTTATTTTTTACGCTCGGTTCCACTGATTTTATACAAATTTAAAGAATGATGTGCAACCATTTTTGCTTTCCCTCTTTTTTTGGAACTCCAAATACTGTACTTATAATTAAGTTCACATACAAAGTAAATGGAAGAAATTCAAAATTTTTATAAATTAAAAGCCACCCCAACCCATTTTTTAATATAAAAGAAGACTTTAATCAGTGTACGAAAGGTCATTGCTGTAGCATTTAGTAAACCAGAATTGATCAGCAGTTGATTGAACATTCAAAATTTATTTGGAAAAACGTGATATCAAAATAATACGTTACAAATAAAAAGCGTGAACAATTTAAGAACTGTCATACAAATATGAATGGGTTGTTGTTAAAAAATACACAGTTGTGTCTCTCTTACCTGGGCAATGGGGGGCAGCACCAGCCACGTCCACTCGGCCAGCAGGATCAGACAAGAGACGATGACGAAGTCTTTCAGCACGTAGTAAATTGACAGTGGGGTGTTCGACTCGAAGCAGTGAGACGGTATTGCCTGAACGAAATACAGAATTGGAGAATGTGCGTTAACATCAGAGACACAGACATCATAGACAAAGACAAAGACATCAGATGCACAGACATCACAGATACAGATGTCTTAGACACAGACACCATTTACTCAGACCTCATAGACACAGACCCCAGAGACACAGACCTCATAGACACAGACCCCAGAGACACAGACCTCATATACACAGACCCCAGAGACACAGACCTCTTAGACACAGACCCCAGAGACACAGACCCCGGAGACACAGACATCACAGACACAGACGTCATAGACACAGACGTCATAGACACAGACATCATAGACACAGACATAAAAACCAGATATATTTATTTTTTATGTAAAAGGGGGGGGGGTAAATGGGATCAAAATAGCAAGCTAGTTCCCCCTTCAACCACTCACCCATCCACTCCCTCCCCTCCGTAGACCACACCAAATACACACGTATCTACTCAAACTGCTCATTTAGCAGCGTCGGGGAAAACGAAGCGTCAAACCTTTTTAATCTCAATAATAGAAGGCAGCTTTCTGGGCAGTTTGACTTTGGCCAAAGGATCGCCATCTTCTGACGGCGTCACATTGTTGGCGGCATCAACTTGATCATCTTCGGGATTGCTGGACTCCTCCCCAGTGTGAGTGACGTGCATGGCGCGAAACAAAAACCACAGCAGCAGAAAACGGCTCGGTCTTTTGGCGCCAGTCTTGGACAGACTAGGAGATGTTGCACGCTCCATGTACACTACTAGAATTTTGAATAGAATAAATGTAAAAGAATTAAGATTTCAATAAATTTGAATGAATTTTAAAATAAAAATTAACGCACATGGCAGAATTAGTGGCAGAGAAAGGGTTAATGTCATCCGGTGGGGGGCAAGACGCCCCCCCCCCCACCCAATGAAAAATTACTTTTCAATGAAAAACTCTACAGCTGACCGGAAATGCCTCCCATAAAGAAATAAGTGCCATCTGGTGCTGACGGCCCCCCGCCCCTTACTTCCTACGCCACTGCATAAAAATAGTAAGCGTGTAGTGATATTTTTCGAACAATGCGATAGTACAATGCAGCAATAACAACTGCCCGTTCTATTAATTTCTTCACCTACTCTCATTTATTGTAGACAAAATTGTGGTACGACAATGTCTTACAATGCACTGCTACTGTATATTGTGTGTGTGCATATCTATGAACTACTTGTGTTTAAATTAAACCGATGGTCGCAGTCTTTTTCATAGGAACAATTTTAATTTTCTTCTAATTTCCTTAAGGCTTCCGCCATTTTAATTACATTTCAATCTACTCCCGCGATGCTTCGCATTCATTGGTTGGTGGTCAGGTGAATAGAAGTGATACGTCATTCACTTGTTGGTGGTCAGGTGAATAGAAGTGATACGTCATTCACTTGTTGGTGGTCAGGTGAATAGAAGTGATACGTCATTCACGTGTTGGTGGTCAGGTGAATAGAAGTGATACGTCATTCACTTGTTGGTGGTCAGGTGAATAGAAGCGATGCGTCATTCACGTGTTGGTTGGTCAGGGGAATAGAAGCGATGCGTCATTCACGTGTTGGTGGTCAGGTGAATAGCAGTGATACGTCATTCACGTGTTGGTGGTCAGGTGAATAGAAGAGATACGTCATTCACGTGTTAGTGGTCAGGTGAATAGAAGCGATGCGTCATTCACGTGTTGGTTGGTAAGGTGAATAGAAGCGATGCGTCATTCACGTGTCGCATCTCCAGTGTGACCCTCTCCCTGTTCTCCAAACCAGCCGAAGCATTTTACACTTACATGCTCCCAATGATAATACAACCCTTCGTGATCAGTGGGTTACCAGTGACCTGCTCCTGTGACCTTTGTGTGACCCCCGCGTACATCTCCGGAACGGAAAGTGATGGTGACATCAGGTCATCACTCCGGAGAACAGTCAACAATGTAAACTTTTAATTGTTTACCACTGAAAGGTCACCACAGAAAGGTCACCACTCTCACCACTGAAAGGTCACCACAGAAAGGTCACCACTCTCACCACTGAAAGGTCACCACAGAAAGGTCACCACTCTCACCACTGAAAGGTCACCACAGAAAGGTCACCACAGAAAGGTCACCACTCTCACCACTGAAAGGTCACCACTCTCACCACTGAAAGTTCACCACTGAAAGGTCACCACAGAAAGGTCACCACAGAAAGGTCACCACTCTCACCACTGAAAGGTCACCACAGAAAGGTCACCACTCTCACCACTGAAAGGTCACCACAGAAAGGTCACCACAGAAAGGTCACCACTCTCACCACTGAAAGGTCACCACTCTCACCACTGAAAGTTCACCACTGAAAGGTCACCACAGAAAGGTCACCACAGAAAGGTCACCACTCTCACCACTGAAAGGTCACCACAGAAAGGTCACCACAGAAAGGTCAACACTGAAAGGTCACCACCGAAAGGTCAACAATGTCACCACTGAAAGGTCACCACAGAAAGATCACCACAGAAAGGTCACCACAGAAAGGTCACCACAGAAAGGTCACCACTCTCACCACTGAAAGGTCACCACAGAAAGGTCACCACAGAAAGGTCACCACTCTCACCGCTGACACGTGCAGAGACTAAAAAGTGCTGAATAAAATAATATTAAAAATACCTTTTCAAAGGAAAAAACAAAACAACAACAAAAAAAAAAGCCTTTCATGAAATGTCCTAAACCTAAAATTTGTCAACTCAATGTCCCGCCAAACTTCAGAGTTGTAAAAGTCAAATGGCATTCAAAAAAGCAACACCAAAAGACTGGTAGAGCGCCCATGAATTCAATGTCTTTTGTAAATCGTAGCGGTAGCGCTAATGTCACTCCACTGGTCAAGGTTACGGTTGATGGTGAGCACGCGCCAGTGACGCAAGGCAGATTTGACACCTGACATCTCCATGATTAACTTATAATCTTTATTATAACAACTGTGTCACGTACAGTGACTTACTTGCAACAAGGCAAACGTTTTATTTGTCAAGTCATACGACATCTTTGTATTGCATGGGCGTGTTCAGAAAGGGTTCCTGAAATTTGTGACAGATTGTGACAGGGGGGCGGGAGGGCATAAATAGTTTGACGTACTTTATGGATGGTCCCTCAAGTGAACCCAGATTGAACTGACAGCTCAAGAAAACACTTTAGAAGGCCTACTACATTGTTTACGTCATGTAACGCGAGCACTTGGATAGCTTTATCTGAGAGCACTTGGATAGCTTTATCTGAGAGCACTTGGATAGCTTTATCTGAGAGCACTTGGATAGCTTTATCTGAGAGCACTTGGATAGCTTTATCTGAGAGCACTTGGATAGCTTTATCTGAGAGCACTTGGATAGCTTTATCTGAGAGCACTTGGATAGCTTTATCTGAGAGCACTTGGATAGCTTTATCTGAGAGCACTTGGATAGCTTTATCTGAGAGCACTTGGATAGCTTTATCTGAGAGCACTTGGATAGCTTTATCTGAGAGCACTTGGATAGCTTTATCTGAGAGCACTTGGATAGCTTTATCTGAGAGCACTTGGATAGCTTTATCTGAGAGCACTTGGATAGCTTTATCTGACTCGGGACAATGGTTTATTTATTTATTTTTATTTTTATTTTTACAATTATTTTATTGCTATTATTAACACTATTAAAATATTGCTACTACTAATAATACTAATACTAGTAATAGAAATACTCAAGGTAGTTCCAAGTCAATCAGGGCCTCAGACAAGGAGATTCACTATCATGTATCCTTATTTAACATCACGCTAGAAAAAGTTATTAGAAGCATACACGTAAGCACTAGTGGAACCATTACATACTACATCCAGAGAGGGATTACAGAACAACAACCATTAATAACCTTATATAGACAGCCACTGCACTACCTGGCATATGCAGACGACGTAGCCCTGCTAGGTAGAAACAGTAATAACATAATTAAAGAATTCAGGGAACTTGAAAATACCCCACTCAAAGCTGGTCTTGATGTAAATAAACCGAAAACAAAATGTGTGATGTCACCAAACTCCCACGCTGATGACAACATCAATAGAAACAATCACAATTTTGAGAGCGTGGACACATTCAAAATATCTAGGGGCAACTATAAACGAGCACAATGAGATAATGTCGGGCGTGAAATAGAGGATAACAGCAGGCCACCGTTCCTATTTCAGCCTATAAAGGCTACTGGGAAGCACCAAAAAGAACCCTCAAAGAGAACAAAGAAGACACTAAACATCACTATCATAAGACCAGTAGTAACTTCCGCTAGTGAGACTTGGACCCTTACCGGAAAAGCAGAGAAGCTTCTCAACACACGGGAGCGGTAAAACCCTCCGTAAAATATCCGGCCCAGGGATGGTAAATGATGTCTGGAGAATCTGTACAAACCAAGAGCTGTACCAATTGTACGCTAGACCCACCCATAACCAAAAAAAAAAGGCAGACTGTGCTTAGGAGGACTATTGAAAGGACGCCGTAGTGTAGAGCAGCAAAGGGGCTTTATAGGCAGAAACCTAGGGGCAGACGATTCACCGGTCGCCCAAGGCTGAGATGGATCGACGATGTAGATAAGGATTTACACCAGTTGGGGGTTCGCGCATGGAGGCGGAAAGCCATGGATCGTTCCTAATGGAAGGTTGTGGTGGAGCAGGCCAGGGTCCTACATGGGCTGTAGTGCCACTGATGATGATGTTGATGAAGAGAAATAGTTTAACCCCACAATCTTAACCAACGCTAGTGATACCGCTGTTTTGCATGTGTTTATTGAGGGCTCATTAGTTACAAGATTTCTTATTTTTACACCCGTTTGGGGGTAATTTACTACTGTTTGCCGATCTCCGTTGCTAAACTGCGGTATACTAATAGAGTAGT